CTTTTTAGTAAAGTTTCGAAAATTTTAAAGGCATTAACGTCAAACAATTACGTTCAAAATGCCAAAATTTATTTCATTACAAATGAAACATGCGATTGAGAAATGCTAGCTCGTAAATCTTTGTTTTAAAAATATATTACCGTGAGCCGTGCAACTATCCCAAAAATTTTTGTGACCAAAGACAAAAATTTATCAACGTCATCTTTTGGTAAAAGAAAATCAATCGAAATTTTTGATGATTTTGTATTCATAAAAAACCTGCAACGACTTTTTTACCAACATAAAAAAATCAACATTTTATTGTAGACAATCCTTTGACTGATATGCGAAAACGATAAAATAAAATTTAAGGGAGGGAAAAACACTTTTCAGAAATACGTATTAAGTCTATAAACATGTCGTTGCAGCTAAAGTTACTTCTTTAAGAAAATTGAAATGATAATGAAGACGTAACATTTGTGTACCTTGACGAAACATGAGTTTACCAAAACGGTTCTTCCATTCGTCGTTGAATACAGCACACAAATTTGAAAAGTAGATAATCCCAACAAAATTCATACAAGTGAAGCCAAGATTAAATTTCAAAATAACGACAGAGATTACCCTAAAATGATCTTTTACAAAATTGACAAAGTGACAACGAAAACGTGTGGTGGTAATGGACAGTGCACCATTTCATTTGATACATTTGATAACTCACCCACATTTTGTAGCAGAAAAAGTGATTGTAGAAATGGTTGGTTGTCACGAAGCCCCATATCATTGCCAATACAACCCAGTTGAAATGGTGTGGGATTTTGTAAATCCTACTATAACAAGGACATAACCTTTCACTCTTCATCCAAAAATAAGGCCAAGAATGTATGGCTTGAGGCTCTTTCCAACTGTACTCCATAGATGTGGCAAAATTTTAGTAAACATTGTAAAGAGCTGACTTTGGTTGATTGAAACAAACACATAGGAAATCTGTCGTTTGAGAACATATCTCCACTCATTATTTCATTAATTAGAATCAGAATCTGAAAATAATACTCAGATATGTGCAACGAAATAATGGATGTAGTCGGCCATAAAAAATAATAAAATAATAGGAGTAATTTAATAAATTATTTCCAACACAATCCATAACATTAAAGTACTGACAAGTCGTGAATGCACTAAGTATAGCAAACATTTCACTTTGAATGATCACACATAATTTAACAAAATAACAATAATCAGAAAATTCTAAATCAAAAACACATTAAAAAAACCACTATGATGGTGAATATTGTCGTTAGTTTTACTTTAAACTATATCCAAAATTTCAAAAATTGCAACAATTTCTGAATTCAAAGAAATTTTCTTTTTTTTTATTGGACAAACTATACTTTCACAAAATAAACCACATAAAAAATAAAACTTTCTGAAGTAATTATATCTGCATTTACTAATAATTATAATTCATAGGTACATTTGTGTATAAAATTGTCAATTTAATGTTTTCGATGTTATGATCTTTAAGAGAAGATTAGGTCTGTATAAGTTTCTGTCACAACTGAACTTGACACTTGTCAACTGAAATTTGCAGACTTCTACTTCACAACCAAAGATGATTTTAACAGATATAATTTTTTGTACTTTCCAGTCATTTCTTGTTAACTTTTTCGTTTAAAAATTATTTGTAGACAAAATAATGGCCATACAATATTATTTACTAATAGAATTAAAGACAGGAGTCAGCTGTGATAGATATTTACTTCTTTAAATGTGTAAGTAGAAGTAAAAAATCAAATGCTTTTTTAGTTAGACATTAATATCTATTTATTACGAATATATTTATATAGTTTATTTGAGATATATTGCCAAAGCTATGTTAATAAACACACACAAAAAAACACAAATCAATCTATATCTATAAAAGGGAAATTTGGAGAGGGTGGTCTCGAAATTCAGCCACAAAGGGGGTGAAAAAGAACGGTAAAATTTGTCTAGGACCAATATTTCTACTATAAATTTAAATTTTTAAGTGAAACTTGTTAATATTCTTCAACACAAATAATGAAACCCGTATTTAAGAATTTTCCGAGATTTAATCTCTTAGGGAGTGAAATGTGGTGGCTAAGTTTGTATGGGAAACATACTTCTATTGTAAATTTAAATTTTTACTTGAAGCTTGGTATAAATGCTCTTCAACACAAATAATAAAACACATATTTCACATTTTTTCGAGATTCCACCCCTCAGAAGATGAAAGGGGTGACAAAGCTTGTATGGGAAAAATGTTTTTATGGTGATGTTTACCTAAAACTTGGTATTAGTGCTCTTCAACACAAATAATGAAACACGTAGTTAAGCATTTTCCGACATTCAACCCCTAAGGAGGTGAAAAGTGGTGGCTATTGGATGGGGAAAATATTTCTATTGTAAATTTTTGACGTTGAATTTAGTACTAATGCATAATAAAACACGCATTTTAGCATTTTCCGAGATTCAACCCTTAAGGAGGTGAAAAGTCGTGTCGAAGTTTGTATATGGGAAAAATATTTATATTTAAGTTTTTAAGTGGAACTTCGTATTAATACTCTTCAGCACAAATAATGAAACACGTAGTTATTTCAGCTTTTTTCGAGATTTCACCCCTAAGAAGATGTAAGGCGGTGACAAATTTTGCATGTGTAAAAATATATTTTGTACCTACTTGAAACTTTATTTTAACGCTCTTCAACACATTTTTTTATTTAAAACTTGGTAATAATGTTCTTCAACACAAAAAATCGTCTACGCGAGCGAATCCGCGGAAGAAAAGCTAGTAGTAGTATAAGTAAGAGTATAAGTAGTACAAATACTACTACATCAGCAAATTATATATTTTAAACCAGTTTATATGATACAAATTGATGTTAAATTTCAACAAACTATAAATCCAAAGCGGTAAATGATTTTGCTCCTTTAATTGTGAACAATATTACAAGTTCTTGCTTCGATGTTTTCTTATACGAAACAAAACAACAATGATTCATTAAGAATTTTTCTCTGTTTACAGATTGCTTTCATCGGTTTGATATTTTGTTTTGTTGGTGAACTTATAACATTCAATTTTAGTATACACATCAACTTCCCTTTTGAGTTATTTTGGATACATGTTTGCAGCCACAAATAAATAAACATAATTGTAATGAAAAAGGCTTAGATTTATTCTAGACATTTCAAAGTAAATTTTTTCGCCATTATCAAGTTTGTTATAGATTTATATTTAGTACGGTGTAATAAAAACAGATCTTGTTCAAAGTAAATTTTGCTGAAACTACCTACTAAATGTCAATTTTTACCTTATTTGTAGTTCATTGTAAGATAATACTAGCAGTTAAACTTCCGCTCAATCAGAGATATGATCTGTTGACACTTATTACGTCACTCTTTATCAACCTAAGATAGTTTTGATACATTTGTCTGTACCTGGTCCACACTATTTAAAACTAACGTTGTATACCTTAGAATAGATATCAAAAGGCACTAATTCAACTGGGTGTAGATATATCACAGTTCTGAAGATTGTACACAGTTAAGTAGGTATTATCAAAATCGAAGTAGGTAGCAGAACAATAATTTATAAAAAAGCGGTTTACCCAAATAAAATTGTCATTGCTGTGAAAAAATTGAAAAATTTATTGCTAATAATATCTAAATATCTGGTAAAGTTGTACTTACACGGTAGGCGATTTTTTTGCAATATTATATTATTTCTCACGACTACGAACCTTCACAGACACACATTTTATAGGAGTGAGAAATGACTATACTCTAGATATGAGTATATCTAATTTTCTTACGACGTTTTCGGAGATGTTTGTTTAGCTATACATTTTGAGTACACACCAGACATTTTTTTTCTAAACAGTCGCTGCAGAAAATATGCAGTACAACGAGTACGAAAGCGTACAGTAGGTACACCTATCATCAATATAAAAATCTGAAACATACCGTTAAGGTTCTTGAAATGAGGTTCTACTGTATTTTTTTAGAATTCGTAGAGATTTCGCTCTATAATGGTGCGTTGCAATAAAAACATTCAACACTTTCTAAAAAGTTTAAAAATATATTTTAAATACTGGAATGAATAAAAAAGGTAATTTATTTATATTTTATTAAATCAAAGATATTTTAAAGTCTGCATTCTCATCAGACAAGGATATTGTTTTTATTTTTTTATTAAACAAAACGATAATTACGTTGGCACTTTTATTTTTACAAGAGCTATAGATAATAATATATATGAAAATATTGCTAAACATTTTATTCAGCTACACACATATCTACTTATTTTATGAAAAATGTTTGGCAAAAACAGATACGTATGTTTATTAGCTTATGACTTTATTTTCTTTTACTTAATAACAGCAACGGACAATTTTTCGGAAAATTTGGATTTTTTTACACTTTGAGAAAAAAATTTTCAAATTTTTTAATCGGAACGTAAGAAATATTTGGCAGTTATTTCTTACACAAAATCAATTGAAATTTGGCTGATTCACGTCAAAAGAGACAACATCGTTTTTTTTTTACTTTTAAGATTTTTTTTCACTTTGTCTTCTACCTTTCTTTTGTATTTTGCTTGTTTATCCTAACATACTTAATTATTATGCTATCTATTTCAAATTATTGTTAAAAAGAATTAATTAACTTACACTACTGAACAATATTCGATACATTCAGATAGCAGATGACATTTAACCCCAATTCTAAAACAACAGGACTACTTTTTTAACATGATGTCTTTTATACAATTGATTACTCATACGATTTAAATTATTATTTAATGTTATTTTAATACAACACATTCAAATTTAGGCAATTAACGTCAATAATAAAAAATAAACTTGCTGCGGTGGGAAAAACCAGCAATAAGTTCAGTTTTAGACCAAGGACTACTACAAGCACCGACATTTTCCATATCCGACATTTTATTGTAACGTTATAATAATAGAAATTCAAGGTATTTAAAGATGGCTTCTTTATAGATCCCTATCAACTGTTAAACGCAGCGTCGAGCCGATTGGTGGCCCAAGGATCGGGCCAGATCCAACTGTGGCAGTTTCTCTTAGAACTGCTTGGCGATTCGTCGAACTCGGCATGCATAACGTGGGAAGGCACCAATGGAGAATTCAAGCTCACGGATCCGGACGAAGTAGCACGTAGATGGGGAGAAAGAAAATCAAAACCAAATATGAACTATGATAAACTCAGCAGGGCGCTTAGGTGAGATAATAAAACTAACTCAGGTGTTTTACGATTTTATTATAGCTGCATAGAGGTGGTTCGGAAAGGAGATTTTTGAGTGAATCGGTGGCGGTAGAATGAAGCTGTAAAAGGAAACGTGTTAAAAAAGGTGGAAGTTTTTGTTTTTTAGGAAAATCTACAGTGAAAAAATATTTCATGACAAGTAAACAAACGCTCGAACATAAAATTGAAACTACTTACAATAACAAGGGTAGTTGGTAATTTTGCGAAAATAATTTAAAACGAAAACATTTTTATTCTGGAATATGGTTAGATACAAAAAAAATCTATTTTTGCATACTCAACACTTTAAAAATATACCACTGTACCTCTTTTATTAAATGATCTGTTTAAGACCTGAAAACTGAAAATAACTAAAATAATGTTAGATATACCTACTTACTTAAATATAATCTTAATTACATTAAAATGCTAGCAAACGTACCTAAATGGAACGAAATATGTAACACTGAATCTTCCTTCTAAATGCGGTAAACCGGGCTAATATGCTATACCTAAAGCTTTTAGTGTACCTAATAAATAAGTATATGAATATTTACTTAAAATTGTGTTTTTAAAGACCTCGTGACAATTTTTTCTGTGAAGGAACCGCTAAGAGAAGTATTGTAACAGGATTACTTCAACAACAATCTAATTTCATTTTTTCTCAGAGCTTAGCGGGACATGTGGAATATACGAAAATGCAAATTTCCCGAATTGTGGCTTCCGTCTGTATGTTTGTCGGGTGTCTGTTGGAAAATCTATTAAAGAGTTAACGACGGAATTAACAATCTGATTATTGTAAATTTTTAGACTATATCGTTATATTCTTATTTCAAAATTTTCTCTAATAAATCTTTGGATATATGCAATGTTACATATAGTGTATCTACTACTAATCGATCCTCATTACTAATTTTTAAGAAAGAATAAATTTTGAAAAATCAAGATTTAATATGCGAATGTCTATTAAAAAATTCGTCCCCAGTATCAATTTGCTATTGGTATGTATCGAATATTTTTTATTTTTGAGAGCAGCTTGTATGGATTGATCTATTTTTACTGTTAACATAAGGGCGTCTCCTGGTCGTATGTTTCTAGAGGGATAGTAGCATTACCATCACTAGTGTTACATTGTACCTACACATCAAAATAAGTGTGTTTATCCTACTTTAATAGGGACAGAGAAGCAATAGATACACTTAGGTGTACAAGAATGTTTATCGAGAAGAATATAGGGGTTATGATAAACATGTAGGAAGTCTTACAATGTGAACTCAAGAAAAAAAAAAGAAAAGCGAGTACCTATCATAAATGCGTTGGTATAAGAATAAACGTCTTATCAACTGATTTATGACATTCTTCCTGTTTCAAAAACCAAAATGTTAGATCTTTGTATATTATCATATCATGGAATTCTTTCAAATTATTTCATAATAAAATTAGCTATAATGAGTAGATACAGGCGTTTGTAGTGAAATAGTCAAATTTTCTACAAAAAGGTTTCTAGGATCGTATTTATGAAGCTCCTCAACAATTTTTTACAAGAGAATATATAATTACTTAAAAGTATATTTAACAAAATCAATTCACGAAATATTCTGGCAAGATGCATATCAACGTAGGTAGTTATGAAGTGCGATTATCAAGGTATTTGGGTATTCATCAGAAAGCACTTGACGTCATTTTTTGTTGACCACATGCTGTTACCCAAGAGAACACTTTTACAACATAAATCAGATGTCGAAATACTGTGCTCTCATTATAGAAACCAGCAAGTCAAGAATACATTTTGGTGGAACGTGAGAAGCATACGCGAAATATGGTCTTACTGCGAAATAACGGATTTTCAGTTGCACTTAAAACTATGCACCGAAAAATTCATTTACTTGCTGCTGAAAAATTGTATGTTTTAGTTCTCTAATAAAATACCTACCGAAATTTGTGTTTTTCTATGACTAATTTTATACACAATTTGCAATAATTTCACTCTTCCCTGTTTAGTTTCTAATAGGCAAGTGGAAAAATTCATAAATCAGCTGTTTGTTTTAAGGCTAATAAAACATAAATTTTGTAACATACCTATCTATGAACATGTACACATCTGCTTAAAAAAATTGCGAATGATTTATATCGAAATGTAGGTAAAAAATAGGTACGATTTATTTAATACTTAGTTGAAGTGATATCAACAACTTTTTGGTGGGGATAAATATATCAGTTCTAATGTGTACAATGTAACAATTTAATTGCCTCAGATACGGTTTATTTCATTTTCTTGTTATATTCACATTTTTGACACAACAGCCCATAAAATAAATATTTTTCTATATTTGTTTAACACAATGTTCATACAATCATGTAAATATAGAAAAATCATAGGTAAATATTTTATTTAATAGTTTTTTAAAATGACTTCGGGGAGGAAAAATAAGTACACAACTTAGTTACTTGATAGTGTTTTGTTATGATATTGTCAATTTTTTGAAAGGGTTAACCACTATATTTTTGTTATCGTTTTGCTAATTTCACTACAAAACGGGAAATATGCATGTTCGTGTTCTATGACTTGGTATAACGTTAAGAAAACATGAAATTAATACTTACTGTAGTTACATTGCTTTGAAAATAACAATAAAAAAGATCCCAATACAATTCAGTTTAAAAATCTGCTAGTCGTAGTTACCTATTACCTAAAAATCCTGCACTCTTAGACGTATTTCCACCCATACACGTTTACATAACGTTTTAATGTTGACAATATTTAGCCAAAGTTATTTCAACAAAGGTGGTGTTTAATGTGTCAATATTGTCTTGGTTTTTCCTCCGTTTGTGTACTGTTTATTTTCCAAACTATTACAATTACCAACAATAATTAGCAGCGCCATTTGCACAACTGACGATTAATTCTCAAATAATGTAAAATAATGCAAGAATCCGTTTTAAATAAAAATTCTGATTCTCATAGTCACAAAAATATTTCACAAATTTTTAAACAAAATTTCAATGTCTGTACACCTTACAAATTATTTTGTAAACACTGGTAACGTGCCAAACACCAAAATTGTCAGAGAATAACAAAGAAACAAGAGTAATACCTAACTGATTTACTTTATTTATGGTCTTTAATTCTTTGTTTCATATTTAATTTCATGCATTTCTGGCTAATTTCATTAATATTGCCATAATAACATAATTTATGAAGCAAAGACGCAAATTATCGTCGTAATTTTTTTCAAAATGTAAATTTTGTTATTTTTATTACAACCACAAAATATTAGAGAATATGTAATTAAGCGACACCATTCTAATTCTCCGTAATTTTAATTTCAAGGATATGAACTTTGTCTGTCTGCTATATGTCTCTCGTTTCATAATAGCTCATATTAAGTGATTTCCAATTTACAATTCAGTATTATTAGATATGTATTTTTTGTGTGAATAGATTTTTTATAATGATTTTTAGCTGCGCTTAGTGCACGCAATACTAGATATACTGTAACGATCCTTATGACTTAAAGCCGCCACCTGATTACATAATACTTAAATATAGAGAAGTTTTCCTTGACCGTAATAATTACACCTGTAGTAGCATAATGTAACTTTTTTTGTGACCGTGCGTTTCCTTTCGTATTAATGGGAATATAAACCTTGACAATCGCAATAATTAGCGAAATTAAACACCTTAAAGTTATGAATGAACACATCTACCAGCAGACAACAGTAGTGATGCGCAAGATTGCATAACATTTCACTTTAATTAATTTTCTAGCAAACTAAAAAAATGTGTCGTAGTTTCGGACCACCTATATTCACTCACAATAGAATATGCATTTATTCAACACGCTTATTAAAATGGTTGCATAATCACAAACACTATTTCTGTTTCAGATACTACTACGATAAAAATATAATGTCAAAAGTACACGGAAAGAGATACGCTTATAAATTCGACTTCCACGGATTGATGGCAGCTTGCCAGGCCCAGGCTCAAGGTAGTCAGGCTGACGTTGCTCCTGGATACCATAAATACCAGCCTCACCAAAGCGAATTAGGAGCTGCTTTATATCCTGCTGGACATGGAACAACTCCGAAGATCCCTAGCATACTACCACCCGGTGCACAACATACACAGGCGGGATTATTCCCACCACCCACCTATTGGCCCTACTCGCCTGGATCGTTTGATCCAAGGGGGCCCCCGTTTAACTAAGGGTGTGTTATTCATACTGACATTCCATTCCGATACATCACACAATGATCAAAAAAATTTGGCATAAAACAACAAACTACACATCCATTTTTTAGGTTTCGTTTTATTTTTATTGTATAAGATTCGTTGTTTTTTTCTGGTTAGGGAAAGCCTATTTTTATTTTTAATTTCGGTGCCGAAAATAGGTAATTAGGATAATTTTAATTTTGACAAATTATATTCATAATATAACCCATGTTATATTATGTCTACGTTCAATTGTTGGCCTTTGTCGTATGTAGGTAACTATTAAACAAGTCCTTTAAAAACGAGAAATAAAAAGAAGTTGATATACAGGACCTTTAAATTTAAAAATCTTTAATTTACACTTGAATCGTTTTTGGAACTGAAACCTGTGTGTTTGCTTAAATCAGCTGAAATCCATGGATGGCTTAATTATACATTATTTTCATCACAAGAAAGTAAGTACTTACATACTTGTCTAGCACCATCTACGACATAGTACCAACATTTTTTTTTTTTAATTAAAGCTAAAATTATACTGATCTTCAGTTTCTTGGTACTGATGAAAAATTCACAGCTTAGTAGTTTAATAAAATAATATTGCAAAAGTGGGATAATTTAAACATCATGTGAACCACTGCTATAAAAACCGTAATCGTACTATATTATAGATGTAATAGATAATTTCAGTATTAGACACTTTAAAATTCCAAATTTTTTTAATCATCTGAAAACTCCATTGATTAACAATAATTTGTAACGATTTAAAATACGATTTCTTTAAAACTTTTATACCAACAATGTTATTGTTGGTCCCCTGTGAAATCATGAGATGTACATATTGTGCAATGGCAATGCATTTATTTGTATAATTGTATATTAAGTTCCTTATTGCAACGTTGTGTTTTTTAATACTTTGTACATAGGTTTGTGTTTATTAAATGTTCTTAGTTGATTCTGTAGTACTATAGTTATGTAATGTTACTGTTAGTAAAAATTATTTTGAAAGACAAATAATGTGGTTTATCATTTATCCGTCTTAAAACCCTGCGAGTATTTCTACTTTAAGTCCTATAAATTCTTATATCTACGTTTTTTATCATGTGGGAAGCCACTATATTTTTAATTCTTTTAATAATACTGCAACCATTTTCCAGAAACGCATTTAATAACTTTCGTGACTTCTTCGTCTATATAACATTTTCACAACCCACATCACGTCTAATGCGTAACAACGATTATATATAAAAACCTGGCGGATTACGGGAAAGGTCGTCAATGATACTGTTACATTGTAAAAAAGCCTATCAATCCATCATTAAGAGTACACGTGATGGTGCAAAGTTAATGATGTGACAAATAAACGAAAAACTTCAAATTAAGCTTAATTAAGAAAATTAGAGTACCTGTTATTAGAGTGTTTTTGTGAATGTTATTATAATTTTTTATATTCTATTAGTAGTTCCTAGACTATGTCTGGTGTACGGTAATTAAGTACCGCCGCAATTCCGCAAATTTGTGTTAATGATGAGCAAAAAAAGTCGGAGTAATTTTTAAATTAATAAAGTTATTAGTAAGTACCTACTTTATTTAAAGGATGTTGTTCCTTAAGTATTTTTTTTGAAAATTCGGAACCTTGTTCGAGACGGAAAATTATTATGTGATGCTGTGTTCAATTTCCTCATTTGCTATTTTAAATGTTCATGTTCCTTTATTTCCTTTAAGGTTATTAAATTCCTTTTGAATTTGCTACCCATACAAATTACAAAAAAAAATAATTCTAAATAATAATGAAGTAAGAGTTATCACTTTCCATATTTCTAATAAAAAGCATATCGTTTGTCGAATTTTAATAAGGATATTGTGTTAATCTTTTTTCTTACAATACATTCACTTTTCATACAATTGGCTTTTTCGTGATTTGTCAGCAGATGAAATTAGATAATTCATTGTCGCAAATTACTAAGATGAAGATCGATTAAACTTAATGTGTCTTATTTTTTTACGTTTATTTTGGAGAAACATTTTTTAAGCAGGTATGGACTAAATTTTAAGATATTTTTTAATAAATGTCTATGAACTCAATATAATGTTATACCTAATGTCATAGTAAGTTCTTTAACTAAAAAATCAAATATAAGCGATTGTTTGCCTTGACGTATTTGTCCATTTATGAAGAAACGTCAATAATTTGGATTAAACACGCAATTTTCGGATCCCGTTAGCCAGTATTTTTTCTGTTCTTTTTTCCACGACGACCAAGTGGCAGCTGATTATGGTTCTAGCTAGTTTTTTCACTTTCTACAATGAACTTTTCATAATTTTAGAAAAAACTAGAGTTACAACTCGTGACCTTCTTGGTAAGATATGGCGTGATACGACGGATAATGTAGACAGTCTAGTCTGCCCTACTCTTTCCTTACATTTTTGAAACGAGCAAAACATTCCAAATCTTTTACTTTTATTTTATTTTATATACTTTAGCTGACTTATTCCCATGTCTAAAACAATCATGTATCTTAATATTTATTACTGATACAAACTGTGTTATAAAAATAAAACCAAAATTAGATGTAGAAATTTCCGTTGTTTTATTCTATGTCTATAATCTTACGATTCCTAAAATCTTTGTCGTTTTTGTAAATATTTCACTAATATTAAGAAAAACTGGACTCGGACATTTTTTTGTCAATGTGTGTCAAATCCGAGAAGAAAAGGCTTTAATAAACTTTTCCTTAACCTCATTACGTGTACTGAATAATGTAACACATGATTCTTTTATAACAGTCCTGCTCTACCACAATAAATGCAAATATATGATCCTGAGTGCAGTACCGAAAATAGAATCAATTTAAAGATAAAGTAATGCACGCATTTGAAGGCAAGGGTCGTAATTACAGTAGCTTTGGACAGCAACTGTAGGCGACAAAAGATAAAAACGTCCGTTGCAGGAAGCACTTATCGAATAAAGTTGATGTTCAATGGACGATCAGCATCTCACACACCAGCTTCACACCAGTACACTTTAGACCAATGCGATGGCAAACCTATTGGTGTTGATGAGTGTGGTTGGCGTTTTTTGTAAACATAATTTTGTCCATGCAGGATTTACAACAACTAGTGAGTTCTACTACTTCATTTGCATGTTAAGTTTAGTTATAAATAAATTAATATAGAATTTTGTTCAGATTTTTCTGCGATATGATCGCCTCAAATACTTACTGGTACTAAAAATTTTGATAAACAAGAATTTTCCTTTCTAAAATCAAAAACTAATGATTTTAAAATTAACAAATAAACCTGTACTTTAGTCACTACAAACTGTTAATTAATCCTATAAAGGTACGTAGCTTTTAGATACACAGCAGTCGATTAAAATAGTAGCTATCATAAATTTTATAGAACTGTGTGGGTATCTGCTAGTCAATTTCAGTTCTTTATAATATTGAAAGTAAAAAAATGTCAAGATTAGGTGTAGTTCTGACACGGTTTAAGACAGAATTAAAAGGTAAGTATTTAAGCAATAAACAACAAACGGCTCAAAATAAATTTGAATAGTACAAACAGTTTCGTACTTGACAAATTTTAAAATACCAATTTATATTAAAAAATATTCCTGTTATCATTTTTTAATAATTAATTGTAAATACAGACTGTTTTCGCACTTTCCGAACGTGACAGGGTTTGTTTACTAAATAGTTACGCAGTTTTCTCGGAGTTTCGTAGTTTCACTTTTCGGTATGCCTATAGTCTGTTGGTGGTTTTATGAGACAGACAACTTCCGAAACTACTGGACTGATTGTTGCGGAATTTTTATTTTATTTTTAATAATACATATATCGCAGAGACCGTAAAACGCTAACCCCAATTTGCCTGATCGTCTCAACCAAAATTTTATGACGTTGCTTAAAAATTTTGCTCAGTGAATCTTATTTAAAATGTGCAAAACAATAATACTTTTGTACCTGTGATTTATGAATCCACCCTTATTTTTTATCTTGTGCATGAAGGTTTTGAGAAAAAAACAAACTTTTACCTTTACAAAATTTTACAATTTAATTTGGAAACTTACTGTACGCCTTAATTTCCATCTATTAATCCCGTTCAAAAACTTGATATTATTTCAAAATTTTTTAGGTAAATGTCGCTTAAAGTAATTTATACCCTGACATACTTCTTTATTTGTAGTTTATTAATGTAATGTAATAATTAAAATTTATTTATTCGTCCCCTCCAAAATGTTAACAACGTAATCGCAAAAACGTATCAATGTTGCTGGGTGCAACGTTGGTTACTTTTTTATAATATACCTAGATATTTATATTTTTTTAAATGTTTAGTCGTTTAAAAAAATTAATAAACGAATCAGTCATGGACAAATACTTTATGTTTTTTGTACATATACAGGAGTTATCATAAAAAACAATTGATCGAAAGTTAGGTATCGCACCTAAAGTCACACATTCAAACAAATTCAATATGTTGGAAAAAAATCTTAACGATCATATGATTTGAACTCACACGAGCAGAACTCAAGTTCACTCAAAAATGTTTGTAATGTTGATAAAATTCGAGGAAGACTCATAAACCACGAGTACAAGACTCTATTTTTTGGATAAAATTTAGTCAGTATTTAATTTGGAAAATTTTGAAGGAACGTCATCACATTATTAGTGGGGATACTTAGACAAATTTTGGTTAGCATCTACACGATATTATTAAAATGCGTATGAAATTGCTCCAATAGTTTTGGAGATTATCTGTCTAATAAAAATCGATACAGATGACGGACGACAGATCGAAACGAAGTTTTAAAACTTCGAGAAAACATGAAAGTAGCCATTCGTATTCACTTAATATAAAATTTGCAAAATCAATTTTTACAGTTTGTTTCGCTAAGATATTGGACTTATTTGATTCTGCTTCAGTGCCCAGGAAAGTTCTGTCTAAAGAACTTTGGACTAAATTTTTGCTCGTTACTTCAAATAGAGTAGACACAGATATGTGTATTTAATAACGTATGTTTCATCTTAAAAAAGCAAAACAACTTATTTCAAAGCTGCTGCAATCCTGAACTAACTTTCAACAAAATATCGGTGCAAGCATCAAGAACTATGTTTTTTCTTTTGTTTATAAAACTAAATATGACCAATGAAACAGCTGAAGATTTGAAAATAATCAAAATACTCTTCAGTTACATTAACCATTTAATTTTTTCTTTATTAAAATAATGTGTGAAAGTCTTTAGATATTTTTATTACGAATAAATAAGAGGACTGTCAAACAGTTTTAGTTTTTGGTTTAATTAATTTTAATCCGACTCTGTTTATACACGGAATAACTACATGATGCAAAAGGGAATCCAATTTTTAAAAATTAAAAACAGTGGTCGAAGGTTATTTAGACAGAACTTCCCTCGCCCCTAAATACACTACAATAAATCGAGATTTTTCGAAAAATTATAAGATTATTTTATACAAGAATAATAACAGTATTGTATTAACAAATTTTCTGGAAAATGAAATGAGTCGTTCTTGATTTATTCAACGCAATAATTTGCATCATTTGCTTTTTTTGGTGTATAAATAATCCTAAAAACTATGAAGAAACCACAAGTATAAAAAAAACAGATGACGTCATCATTTTTTGGGAGGAAATAAACGAATAAATTTTAATTAACGATTTATCATGATTATGTTAACTTTAAAGCGTTTGCAAAATTGAAGAGTATTCTGTTTTAAAGTTAAATTGCAAAATGTTACAATATATGTACAATTATGTTTTTTTCAAAAATCTAGATGTATAACAAAAGAACAAATTTACCATTGCATTACATTGTATCCCATTGGTGGTGAGTACGATTGCGCAAATTTTGGTTGACGTTTTACCAATTACATTACAAAAATTTGACAACAATGGGTCCTATAGTTTCGGACATTATCTGTCTAATAAAAATCGACAGAGACAGATAGACAGACAGACAAACAAACGGACAGACAGATAGACGACAGACAAGACTATATTTTTCGTACTCTAGTGGTCGAGAAAAAATGAAAATAGCAAGTCGCCCATTGGACACGATTACTAATAAAAATCGTAAAATTTAAGACCTCATCAACTCTTTGGTGGATTAAATATTTAAATCCCATATAATCTAAAAAAATCTCCTCTTGTGAACCATGAGTTTAACATTTTCAAAAACTATGGTGGCAATACTGTTGTTTTCCGTTGAAGTTACCTCAATTATCTGTCATTTTGGTATTCGTATTGTCAGTGTAATAAAAAAAAAATTGCCGCAAGTTGTTTCAACAGAATTTCCCTCGCTCCTGAAGTACAATGAATGCAGAATTTTCGAATTGATCTTTTTCTACACAATTTTGTGATTTTTGTAAGGACACGTGGATTGGTGCAGTGTAATACTAAAAATAACAGTATTGTATTCTCAAATTTTTTTTGACCCACTGTTTAAGCATATCTAAAAAATATGAGTGACAAATCACAAGTAAAAACTCATCATATTTTGCACATTTTGGGTAAAATTTATTTGGCAAAATTTTGAGATGCATCATCAATTTTTTGGGGGGATAATCAGATAGATTTTGATTAACAATTTACCATGTTTACAATAATTTTAAAACGTCTGCAAGATTTCGAAGTATTCAGTTTTGCAATTCTTGATTTATTCAATAAAATAAATTGACTGATTCATTTTTTTTTTGAGTGAGCGTGTATAAGAAAATCTAAAAAATGAGGTTCTTAATTTGATCAATAAAAAATTGGTCGAAGGCTATAAGTATAATCCGACAAATCCTGCTCGTTAAAAAAATTATAAAATTTGATTTTACGATTTTCGTTTCGTAATAACCGTTGTAAAGTAAAAACCAGAAGCATAAATAACACCCCTTGTCCTTCAGCAGTAGGTAATAGCAATCTAACGCTCAAGTGTTTATTTATGTTTATACATCGAAAGAATGTCATGTAGAAGTTAGTTTGATTTGAATGAGTTTGTCTTTTCAAAGCAGGACTAAAATTATCAATTAAACAACAATTGAATAAAATGTTTTGAATATTATAATTCTTGTTTTATCATTATTTTTTAAAGACGTGTGTATTCTTCACATTTTCGGGAAAATGGGGGGACTCGTTCTTAATATGACCAATAAAAAATTTATGATGACGTCATCAACATGGATAATTCTAGTCACAGCATAAAAGAAAAATACAGTAAAATCACTTGACATACACCTTGTAAAACTTTTGTGAATTAAGCGGCTTCAGCCAAACTACCCTTATAAGTCAAACTGGTTATAAGCTTTATGGACCCGAACCGCAAGGGTTATTACTGTCCATTGTTGCCATAATGGAGTCATAAAAGTTTTACAAGGTGTATGTCAAATGAGTTTACTATAGTCGCATCGTTAAACCAATGCAACAAAAAAAAAAAGGAAATGGGGCCAAGTTTGCCATCGAACCACAACCGCAGTATTGCCATTATTTTCGATAGACCCACTGCTCCACAGAGACGTTCAAACCGTGCCGGAACTAGAACGTTATTATACTTTGCAAATGTTTTTGCGAAAATTTGAACGTTTAAAACTGAAAGTGGATTCGTATATGAGTATATTTTTGTGTAACATTCAAATTATTTGAGAATACTATTCATTAAAATGAATTCCTCAAATTGTTGGTGGGGATGATTATCCAAATTTTATTTAGCATTTAACCATCTACATGATATTTCTAATATATAAACAAAATTTGACAATAATCGGTCCAGCAGTTTCGGAGATTACATGTCTAATAAAAATGAATACAGACAGATAATAATTAGGTAGACCGACAAACAGACGGAAACGGAAGACTACTTTTTTCGTACTATAGGGGTCATGAAACGTCGAGAAAACATAAAAGTGGCCATTCGTCCGATGGAGTCGATTAGAATAATAATAAATTATTAAAATAGAAAAGGTTTTTTTTCGATCATATGGTTATCAGCAAGTGTAATGTTACTGACCTGTTAAAATTTCAGGGAAGTTAGATAAACTGTTCCTGAGATAATTAGTGCATTTTTTTAGATGTCCTCTACGCGTCGCTGGGAAAAACAAAGAAATATTTTTTAAGTGTATTAACAAAACTGCTATAATTTATTTTACTCCAGAAGTGTAATTACTATTCATTTTGTGTCACAAATTTAAAAATGTATTACGAAACCTTTAATATTCTCTTTTTATATATTGTAATAGACACATTTTTTGATCCACCGAGAAGAATAGATCAGAAGAGCTCAAAAACGGCTGATACCTTGTAAAAAATTTAACAGAGTTTGCGTTTATCTTAGATGTCTCTTTTTAAAAGCATCTGTTTTATTTCCTCTAAAGAATTATATAAAGTTTGGGTAGTCTCTTTCGAGTAATGACTAATTTCATGTTCAAGAATTCGTAGATTATAAAAATATAAGTCACCCGTTTCTGTCTGTCCGTGTGTCTGCCTGTCTGGTTTTTTCTGTGCGATCATCTGCAAAATAAATTATCGTGAAAAACTAGAGGTTGTTAGTTCATGTCCAATAAAAAGTTTAATGAAGTTTTCAAAATTTGCGTAATATTACAGGGTCAAAAAGAATTACTGCCATTTATACAACTTTCATTAATAATTTGCACGTCTAAGTGGGCACCGATTTGTTTCGCCTCTTTCGGCGCGTGTATTATGACTATAATGAAAAAGTGGAAATGTCTAATTATTCTGACAGACGACATATTTATTCAAACTTTTAAAACGCCGACTAAGTGGCAAATCTGCAGCAATATTGTAAATTTCACGGGTCACTTGATGTACAAAACATTTATAAAACCGTTATGTAAATGTACAGATAATACTTATTATTAGCTTTCTCAAAATTTCATCAAATATTTGTGAACTGTCTTTAATTAAAATGTGTAGTTTTGGTATTTTTAAGAATTTACAAAAATATAAGTGTATTTGATATTAAATTGATAGTTAAATGTCGTTTGGCCATTTTAATTACTTGAAGTATAATAAAAAATAATAAATCAGTTAAAACAAAGGAAGAAATTCAATTACGCCTAAAATTTCTAATAAAGTTGATTAAAAATGGCGGATGCGCCAGGCCAGACATATTACCAAGAACAATAAAAATAATAAAAGAGCAACGACTGTAATATAAATACTTAAATAATCATTTCGTTATCTTGCAGAGCTAGGCCCCCAGCCAATATGGAATTCCACTCACACTGATAAGTTAAGACAAGACCTCCTGCTTAACTATGATAAATTTGCAAGGCCAGCGCAACACTACAACGTGACAACCGTCCGCCTGGGTTTCACAATTAGACATATTGAACTAAATGAATTTAAATCATCTTTAACAGTTTATTCATGGATTAATCTGGTTGGTACCTCACCTTCAAATTGTACAAGCGCATCCAGCTACTAATACACGCTTTTCAGTCATGGAACGACGAAAAACTCAAATGGAACTCGTCAAATTACGGCGACCTCACAGCTCTCAATTTAGCTGATCACGAAATCTGGCAGCCAGATATTTTTTTATATAACAGGTGATCATACTAACTCTGTAATAACAAAAATTGCACCGTACAATTTATTCCAGCGCAACAAGCACGGCCATTACGCATTATGGAAATGTCCACTGTATTGTTTATGAGGATGGCACCGTTCTGTGGGTTCCTCCTGCTCAATTTACGGTTTTATGCAACCTTAATTTAAAATACTGGCCTTTCGACAGTCAAGTATGCAAACTTATCTTGGGTTCTTGGACTTACAATGGAGATCAAATTGATATTGAACTTTACAAAAATCAAAAAGAAGCCGATGTAAGTACTCACTATTTAACATTATGTTTAATACGGTGTAACCAACTATTTAGATGGATCTCCTCGTCGAAAACAATGAGTGGAATATTGTGAAAACATCTTTAACCAAAAATATGAAGTACTATTCTTGCTGTGAATCTCCGTATCCAGATGTGACTATTGAACTAGTTCTTGATAGAATATCACCGTCCTATAAAGCTTTAATTGTCACACCCGCTTTTGGTATGAGTTTATAATTACAAATTTAGCCACTAACTTTTTTGTTTTAGTTATAATAATATTAATTTTAATTAATTTTTGGCTACCTCCACAGGCGGGTGAAAAAATCGTTCTCAACGGATGTACCGCTGTCATTATTTGTTTGTTCATGCTATATTTTACACAGAAAATTCCAGCTATGGGGACACACACACCATTAATTGGTAAATAAGTGACAGTTTACCATACAATTTACAACATTATTAACGCATTTTTACTTCAGTGTTGTTTTACAGCAGTTGTTTGTATGTTGTTGGATTTTCTATGATAGCTTCTGTTATTGTTATCTGGTTGTCAAGAACTAAACACGGTTCCCCGCTGCCATGGATTATAAAACATCCTTTAACCGGTACTTTTGGCAAACTACTAGGACTGGGTACCTATATTCAGCAGGTAAAATGCGTCCTTTTTTGTGATTTTATCACTACTACTTAGTTTCAGTCGTCGATTACCTCCCATAGAATAACAGCTGAAGAAATGCGTGACCATCAAGTAACAGATTTTGAAGAAAATAACAGTGGAGATGAACACCATATCATAAAATCGTCTACAAAAATGCCCATACAACACGACTGGATACTGCTAGCAGCAGCCATAGATCGACTTTCGTTTTGCTTCTTTTGTTTTCTTTTACTTATTTTAACCATTGTTTACTCCATATAAACCTGTCATTTTCAAGTTTTTGAAACATACATTATTGAAAACTAATTTTATTTTATTTTTCATAAAAGATCTCTGTTTTACGTAAAATCTAAATTGGAAGAACAAATAGGTTCTGGCCTGTGGTCTTAAATAAAACTCCTACATGATAACTAGAAGAACCTATACTCTTAAAAAATTGAAGATTTTAAAATATTCTTTTTCACTTCAAATCTTTCATCAGCCTTTTATCCACCTTTTTGTTCTTTTGCTCTTCTCCAATATTTTACAGATATTTTTCACTTTCATTTATCTAAGTTGTTCTTTCTTTCTCATTTTCGCATTATTCGCATTGTAATTATTTTTCTTGTCTCATAATAATACAGAAATAGTTTTACAGCTTTGTTATAATTTATTTGAATTTCTTTACTAATTGTTCTCTTTGCATGTTGGACAGTTCAAAAGATAATTAAAATCATGTGTTAACTGTGCAACACTGACTACTTGACACTGATGAACGCAAAAGTAGACGTTCTGAATTTTTATACCATTTCAGTGGTATGTGACTTTCCGTTAATTTAAACGTGAAACAGTTACGACGCAATTGTACCAGTCTATTTCTGCTGTTTAGGAACGTTATTTAAAAATTATTTGGTTTTTTTGTGATATTTGGAAAAGATTATTCATTTTGCAAAATTACAAGAGTTTGACTTGTACCCTAATACACATAAATTTAATCTTATGAAAGTATTGAGAAGTAGATTGTAACTGGAGAGCGAACAAATGACCTAGGACTATAATGAGCCGCCATTTTCGCGTCGTGGAAAAAAAGACAGAAAAAACCTAACGGGATCAGTTTTGCTCTGCGAAAATCGCGTGATTAATTCAAATTGTTGATGTTTTTATGATAAATGGACAAATATGTCAAGGTAAACAGTTGCTTGTATTTCATTTTTTAATTAAGTAACACAGATACTGTGAAACTAAAAATTTAACGTCGTATTTTTTTAACAACACAAGTGCACAATAACATTAGCTTCGGTTCTGCTTTTTGGGGTGCTCCTGAAATAAAAAGACGCGATTTTAATCTTTAGTACTGTTAACCAAAAACAACAAAAAAGAAACAGATATAAACAAAGATATCAACAATTTGGATGAAACACACGATTTCCGCGAAAGTAAAATAGATATTTTTTGGTATTTTGTAACAGACAAGATTTAAATCGCAGTCGTGCAAACAGCACATGATAGCTGAGGCCTCAAGGTGTTGGCAGGGAAATTAGAGGCCTATTACGCAGAAAAGGAGCATATACGTGATGCGAATGTGGGTTGGGACGGTTATTGAAAGGTACGTACAACAAATTTGACAGTTCTTCGCGAAGTCTAAGAAGTCTGAAAAACTTATTTTGTATTATCAAAATTATAAGGGGAAAATTAATTTATTTTTGTAAATCCTTACAACTGTAACAATAAAACTTTTGTCAAGACTAAATGATAGAAACGAGAGATTATTTTTTATCAGAGGCGTACAACGAATTTGGACATAAACTTTAATAATTTTTGTCTCTGAAAGGAGAATACTTTTACCTGAACTTTTTTTAACTTTTAGCGCCCATACTTCCAGACCAACTGCCGATTTTATTTTGTACGTACCTTTCAATAACACGCTGTATATCCCGTGGTTGAAAGTAATTCAATTACAAGTAATTCATTACTGTAATTCAAGTCCTTTTCAAGTAATGAGTACCTAATTGTATTGCATTACTTTTCAAAAAATATAATGAGTAATTGTAACAAATTACTTTTTTCGAGTAATTACTTTTAACCCAAATACTCAAAAATATGCGTTTTGTTTTTCTCTACGAATCGTTTACTTAACCTGCTGGGATTATTATACCTCAATCGTCCACACAAACAGAAGATTAACCCAATAGGGAGTTAAAATCTAAAACGTGTTTAGCACAGAATTTGTTAAGAAATTATGTAATATACATACGCTCTTTATCATTTTAAGGGCGAGTTAAGCATATTCCAGTATAGGGAAATACATATAAACTTCTGCCCAAGTTTTTGCCAAAACCATACGTCTGATTGTAATAAACTTCTCAGCGTTGAAATGAGCGTAAAAAACTCTACTCAAACTGCTTTTCCTTTTTTTAAACTTACATTAGTAGAAATTGTATTAAAAAATTCATTGTGCTTTACAGAAATAAAATATCTTAATAAATAACGCCAAGTAAGAGGCAATTAAAGACAGACTTTTAAGTTTACATTATCTTGTAGCCCCCTTCTAAGTATTTAGGAGCATCTTTTTTATTAAAGATTAAAAGATTTGCGTCCCCAGGTAATTATCGGTGGTCTAATATTTCCGATACATTTACACGTAGCCAATAAGATATTTTGAAATCTCGCACCAATGCAAATTTTTGTTTAAAAGTTGTTGCGGTTGGCATCGAACTTTTATTTGTAGCTAGAGTGAAATGAAATTAGGCGCAAAAGAATCGGCTCTTCAATTTTTGGTAAAATATGTAACATGTTGCCCTATACTAGTTGTGAAAAAACTGTTAGTTCGATTTTATATAATACGCGGCAAATAAATACTCCAGCTATTATGTGGGGTAAAGAGTAAAGATCAGGAAACCGATGCCATTATAGCCTTTTTTGATAAAAACACATTTTGACAATTTTTTAAAGAATAAAAGGAGTCAATTAGATCTACTGAATCAAAGTGCTCCATGTTTTTGAAACATGTTTATAAAATATAATACAACAATTCCATCTAGCGCCGCAGTGAAAGGATGTGTAGTGTTGGCGCGAATGTTTTTAAGACAAAACGCAAAACGTCATGCCTTAGCTGACGAAAATTTTAAATGTCAGTTATTATTGAATTTACCTACATTATGAATATAGTCCTCTTGCGTGAAGTATTTATTTGTTTTATTTTATTTACTGATGTGAATATGTAACAAATACGTTAGTAAAATAAATCACTCACTGCCTTTTTCATGCTAATGTTTTTTCTTGACCCTTTGGACCCATACAACAAATATCTAAAACTGTGTCTTCATCAAAATTTTTAAAGTGCAAAAAGTAATTGCTAAAGTAATGCACTGCTTTTTAAAAGTCATTGTTCCAATCACTGCCTATATCTTACAACGCGGAAAACTGGTACTAGTGTGATAAGACTGAGTAAAACTAAAAAAATACGTAGGTACAGTGAAAATGGGCTATTGGTAAATGCATAATTTTTTTCAGTTGGCACAAGTAACCCGAAACTGTAGTTATCTTGTCATAAGTTCAGCCTCATCGCCCAGTTTTATTAATAGGTTCCTCGAACGATTTTTTTTAGTTTAAAGAGTATGATTTTAGTTTTTAGTATTTTTACAATTAATGTTATTTGCTTTAATTTTATTTCATTTATTGACCTTTAGTTTTTATCTGACGTGTTCTTACTTTTGCCGTAACCCCTGAACTGATAAACTGGGCACACTTTGAATGTCACCAAATATCATTTTAATAGTGCATAAATAAATTCTATCGGATTTTATGGTCTGTGCGATGAATTTTACGAAAGTTCGTTTACATTTTAATCAATTTCATACGTTTGACGTTATTACGAAGAGACTAAGCTGAAACTGATCAACTATCCCAACACGATCACAATTTTAAACGTTTGAATTTTTATGAGTAGTGTTGTTGGATGAGGTCACAATATCAATACGTAAGAAAAATTGCACAAACTTACACAGGTTTCTTTAGTTACGTTTAATTACAACCAAAACAATAGACTAATAAATTTTATCAATCAATTAAATCGTATCACGGCATGTGTGTACAACAAACTAAAGTTAGATTGTTACTTGAAGAAAAATGAAATAAAATTATACTTAGAAAAATATAGCCATGATATATTTGAAGTCACAGATGCATATGTTCACAAAGAGAAATCATAACGATGAAAACACAAATTAAACTTTTATAATAAAGATTTATTTTTTCTGTAATCTTGTAACAATAACAGCAAGGTGTTAAAAACAAATGTTTGCCTCAGAAATGGAGAATAGTATAGTTTAAATATAAAAATATGTAGAATCACAAAGGAGACAAATAAAACAGGAATGCGTTTCCATAAACATATTCTAAATAGTAATAATATGACATGAACAACACAAAATCAATAAATAATAAAGTAATTAAAAAAATAAAGTGCTAAACATAAACTTCAAGGCCATATATTACTTTTCTGCTTTAAATGTTCTAGTAAGTAATCTATGAAGCAGTTCTATGATAGTAAGTAGGTATTACTTGATATGTTTTAAGTCATCAATATACTATAAAAGCAGAAATTCGGTAATACTGTAATAATGTGCCTCTTAAATTTTGACAATACTGAACCATGTCTGTAAGTAGCACAGTGGAATCTTATCATACGAAGAATTCTGAAATACTAGACGAACTAGAATAAAACACAAAATGCAAGATCAACAAAATATAAAAGAAACTACGAATGGCTTATAAAAACTCCAGCATTAGGTGAATATTAAGTTATACGTTCTTTTTTTTTAAATAAATAATGTTTGTATGAAAGACTTGTAATGAACAATTTAGTAGCAACTTTTGTATAAACTTTAATAAAGTTTATAAAAGTGTTCAATCATCAAAAATTCAATAAAAAAATACTTTGCTTATGTATCAAAAATTTTAACAAGCATGACTTAAACACTGTATTAAGCTATTATTTGATTTGAAATTCTTAATCTTCATAGACCTTAATTTTGTCATATTCTATGGGCTCAGAATTGATTGGTTTCCGCGAATACTTCAATCCTAATTCATTTGCTACTTTCTCAATCACCTGCAAGGCATAATCTAACTGTTCTTTGGTATGTGCTGCAGATAAACATATTCTGATTCTTCCTTCCATTAACGGTGTAGCGGGATATCCAACGCCGACAGTTGCAATCTTTTCTTGAATCAGTATTCGCACCATGGCCCTAAAACATTTAAACAATAAAAGATATAAATTATCGCACTGCACAACATACGCAATTTTAGAATATAAGTAAACAAGAATCGGAACTACTGGTGAATCGTCATTGCCATGGATAATAATTCCCATCTGTTCAATCTTCTTTCTAAAATAACGCGTGTTTCTAGCGAGAGTTTCGATTCTCTTCTGTCCTTCGTTTGTTCCATCCTTGCCCATCAATATTTTAAGAACTGCTATAATCTGAGCAGCGACTGGTGGTGCCATTGCCCAGGCATGTTTTGAAGCAAAGCTATTTTTTCTCAGAAACGATATCAATTCTTTGGTTCCAGCTATATAACCTCCAGCAGAGCCGAAACTCTTGGTGAAAGTACCCATCAATATATCTATTTCTTTTGGATCGCATCCAAAATAATCTACGATGCCGCGGCCGTGTTTGCCCATTGCCCCAATGCTGTGGGCTTCATCTAAATATAAGTAAGCTTTGTACTTCTTTTTAAGTGCAATGATTTCAGGTAAACGAACAATGGTGCCTTCCATACTATAAACGCCTTCTACTACTATTAAAATTTTCTTCCAGGGTTTATACGCGCCTTTGGGTTGATTGGGTTGTCCCTTATAGATATTCTCTCGGAGAATTTCCTCTAAGTGTTGAACGTCTGCGGATAATTAAAGATCACAACATAGCAAACAGTAGACCAGAAGAGTTAATTACCGTTGTGTTTAAACACCTTCACCGTAGCTCCTGGCAAACGAATGCCCAAAATAAGCGAAGCGTGATTTTTTTCATCGCTAATAACGAGGCAACCGGGAGATAAAAGAGTGGGTATGTTTAAAGCGTTGGTAGCGAAACCCATTCCAAAAGTAATTGCGTCTTCTACTCCCAAAAATTCGGCTGTTAATTTTTCGAGTTCTACGTGTAAATCACAGGTTCCGTATTGCTGCCTTGTTCCTCCAGTTGTAACACCATATTTGTAAATGGAATCGATAGCCGCCTCAGCACAAGGACCCGATTTCTCTGCAAAACCTAGATAATTGTATGATGCCAGATTTATACACTTGGTTTTAGAGCCGGTGAACCTGAAGATCCGAAAAATTAATAACCAACAAAAACAGGCTTTTTCGCGACTTACTCAAAGGTCCAACCGTTGTCCCTCGTGACGCGATCCTTTAAAACCACTTCATTACCAGGCACGCTACAAATTGGGTAGTTCCAGCAATCACGTATTCTTCTATAAACGTACATTGAATAAAAACTGGAAAATTTATCAAACAGCGGTGAATAACCATCTCGGTTCTTTTCTTTTGCAACTTTTGGTGGGAATAATGCTTGACTTAAATACCCAAGAAACATCAAAATGTAGAAGCTAATATGCGTTAAAGCCGCTGTTAGAAGGGTTGGGGGTTCGAAAGATTCTTTAATTATTCGCGTTTTTGGTAGCGGTTCTTCTGAAGCGGCTTTTACGTAACCCTGAAAAACAAACAATTACGTTAATACAGCTTATTTAACACTAGTATGTTAAAAATAAAAAACAAAGGATTTGTTGTATTGGTGCTCCAAAAGAATATAATAATAAGCTCTTGAATATCTATCTGACAACGAAAAAAAAACAAGTTTTTGTGTAGCTTTAAAAGAAAATAAAATATCTTCATCTATTCTTTGGAAATGTAAATGTTTAAAATTACTGTATAATATACAACTTTTCGTTTGTGTCAGCCTGTTTATATGAGAATATATTGAATATTGCAGGCATTATTTTCAACCATTAACAAAATTACAACATGTTCTTCTTTATTATAGCAAAATTACAACATGTGTATTTTTATATAAAATGATTCATTGAATGGCTTTGTTCTACCATAAAACTAAGTATACAATGCATTTTGTTATGAAAACAAATGCAATGACTTGAATTTTCAAGTATTTAATGTAATCTATAAAATTGTGTTTTGATTCATTATTTCTTACATCTACAAATTCCAGAATCTTTTTTTTTTTAATTAAAATTAAAATGATAATATAAACATCGTCGTAATTGCGATCCAATATGAATTAGAACTTCATCCCAGAAATTGTAGGTTGCTATTATTAAAAGAGTAGAAGATAGGAATCCCCCGAGCTTTAAGTTTAAAACAATGGCTCCGTAATCACCACATCAATCTCTTTACCAAGATAAACTTTAAAAGCTGCAATATATGAATTCCAATTTGTTCCTATCAATAAAAGTCGGTTTTTCATTTTGAGGTTACTATAAAACATATGTTTAAATTTATTGCCCATCAAAAATGTTATAACGCGTTTATTGAAGAAAACAGTGGAGCACAACTATTTTTCGTTTATGGTAATCCGCACGCGTTAATTTAAAAATAGATGGCAAATTATACAACCACAGATAAAGAAATATATCACCTTATACCTCTTCAAAAAATTTTATTTAACAAAATTCTGAGATGACGTTATCTATTTGAAATGAGCCAACAAAGTCTAGTTATCATCTTATCATCTTTACGATAATTTAAAACACACTCAAAATTTTTATGTAATCGAGTCAGGTTCCAAAGATTATCTGTGGAAAAAAATCCTGGTAGACAGATCTGTATTTCCTACGAAATTACGTTCGGAAAGGTAAAAAGGAACCCGGAAACAATATTATATTATAAACTGAAGCGAAGATGAATATTTACATTACTAAAAACAAATGTTGACCTCTAAAGTAGGATTTTCCGTTTCCGTCTGTCTCTGTTTGTCGTTTATCATCTGTGTCGATAGCTACATATGTCGGATGTGTATTTCAGGGGCGAGGGAAGTTCTGTTTTAATCTTACACCATTTTGTTTTTTGATTATAAAAAATATGAAGTAGATCTATTAGTGTAACTATGTATTCTGTTTATAATTCATCCACAGTTTGAAGTGTGTTCTGGAAAATGGTGTTACTTTACCAACCAACAAAAAAAAATCCTGTGGTATAAGTCTGGTGGCACTAATAAATCTGCTTAGTTGTACTTTGTTATAATTATAAATTTCATTCAATAATTTAAAGGTGTTTAAAGTTATCTAAATAACTGAATAGGAAACACTGAAGGGAATGTAGCAATGTTTTAATAATCTGAAGGAAAAAAAAACTTCAATTTATGTTTGCACTAACAAAATCGTCACTTTCAAGATTTACTGTTGACGTTACCTTGTGGTAGTGTCAACAAACTTTCTTTTACCTTGCTTTATAATGTGTATTTTTCAGATTGGTTTTTTCCTTAAATACACAACAAAGAGTTAATTAAAAAAATTAGCGTGCTACTGAGACCAGTCAAACATAAATAACGATGTAAAGAAAAAAGTTTACTTTTACCGTTATTTAAATAAAATGCGGATTAAAAATTGTAATAATGGCTACCACTGTGGGCTATAAATCATAAGCTTAGTGCCCGAGCTAATATTTTGGTAGTCTAACTTTTTACAATAATTAATGAAGTTTCAATTTTGGGAAAAAATTAAAAGTAGAATAAAATTCTCTACAATTTTGCTAATTTTTAAAAGCACAACAAGTTACAGTTTTGTCTGAAAACGGATTCTCGTTTTCTCACATTTTATTTTTAATTTTAAACACATATGTTTATTAAAATATAAAATCCGTAATCCGAAACATTTTTGTCACGAACATAATATAATTATGTGCAAAATGGGTAGGCGTTCTGCCCTTTTAATGACTGTGTGGAGGCGCCTTAAATTTAGAAAAACCTGTAGTAGCAGACTATGCAAACTTGTGCTCAAAGTTAAACAGTCCAGTTGATGTAGTTCTAGAATAAATAAAAAATAATATAAGCAGCTTTTTAAATATTAAAGAACAAGTTCAGGATACCATTTCTGAAATTTTCTTATTAAATGAAAATATTTATTTTCACTTGGACAATTATATGTCTTTTTGATATTTGTTTTAACGGTTTTCTTCATTTCTTTACCTTAATCTTCCCATTAGCTTTATTTGGAATTTTTCACGGAAATATTGCCAAACGCTAAAATATAAGTAACCCGGCATAAATTTACATGAAAATTTAAAATGTGAGCACAGAGGAAATACGTAAATACAATTGCGTCAAACCATTAACAAGGTCTATAATTAATAGTCATTTATGTATCAACTTCAAAAAATACCCGTGGTACATACAAAATTTTATGTCTTACGGTAGTTTGATATTAAAAAAAAAAAAAAAAACCGTCGCCTTTACACATTCTTTTATTGGTTGCATTTTTTAGCAGTTTTGTTACTTGTTGCTGACGAATTATTTTTACAGGTAGATTAAATTTTACGTGTTACCAGAGACTGTGATTTCAATCATGTAAATTGGCGCCGTCGCCGTTTCTACATATACAACCAGCAATTCACTATGTAATATATAGTTCGTTTCCAATCAATTGCCTTTTCCGTTGACGTTACTATGGCAACTATTTTTAATGCCCTAGGGTATTATATGATCAATAACATATCCCAAATCCGGCCAATAATAAACCGGTAAGACAAAAAATAAGTTTCTCGTTAGAAATCACATGTAAGACTAATGTCACATCGTTGTTTGTCCTATCTATTCATATTTTACATGTACAATACAGCGTGATTAACAAGTATTGAGTTGGCAATAGAATTAACCACTTCAGAGAATTTTCTTGCCCTACTACTGCCAAACATGATTCAAAGGCTTGGCGCCATGTCACTTTTATTAAGCACTCAAGAAAGTTTGGTTATGATATTTCAAAAATAATCAATAATAAATTTTGACGCAAAGTTCCTTTTGACGTAAATTAAATGTCACCATTAACCATGTCTATTTTTCAACAGGAAATAAGGTGGAGTGATAGATCTACCAATTTCAAGCAAAATTCATACCAACTGAAACATTACTTACTGATCACGCTGTATATTCTAAGTTTTGTGTTTTTTTTTTGTAATTTAAAGTATTTTCCTAACCTGTTGTTAGTAATAAAACATTTTACTTGATGTTTACTTTACTACTGGCACTAACTTTTTATCGATTCAAATTAATATTTCACACAGGTTCGAACAAAAGTCTTTGTATGTTACTTTTTTTAAATATTTCATGCACACGAAAATACCATTGTGGACTAGTCCAAGCTACCTGTTCGATTTTTAGCGCTAATATATGCCTGGACAACCTAAATCAAATACAGGCATAACAATCTTTTCCGGAATCAGATTATCTTGAGTGTGCAAATCCTGAATCCGTTATGACTAAGATTCAAAGCTTGTCTTTACGAAAGTTTTTTCTGCTCTTTACCGATGTCACTTTACAAAATATGAACACATAACCTGGAGAAAAAATCTAATGCAGGCTTTTACTATGTTTAATATTATATTTTTCAACGTTTTGTAAATATGTTTATGTGATATATTTTTGTCCTTGATTGAATAAGCAAATTACAATAAGATTGCTGTTAATTTTTGTTCAAAAATCAGATCATTATGCAACCAAACGTTTTCGAATATTTCATCCAATAACCTTGAAAAAGGCTATTCAGTCCATTTTAATCACTACTGTAAACTATCTATTCTAGGACATCATTACTCATGCTCTCAAAATGTGAACTTCATGTTTACTAATACAAATATACTCTTTATTTTTCTGACAGTTGTTCAGTCGTTGTTCTTCTTATAGAAGGCAAATTTAAAAATACTGTTAGTTTTTAAGTTCTGCATATTTATTGTTACGATTTTCACCAAGTAATAATCTACTACTTTGTTTAAAAACTTTTCTAAGTTAACTCTGACGTACTTTTAAAACAACTGTCCACAAAAAAGTAGTGCGCACAGTCAAAAATTACTACTAAATAATTATCACTGAAATTACGACAAATATTGTCGCCCACTAACAAATAGTACAAAGACGCATGTCCTCATTCAGTTCTCAGTTTATTCAATGTTCGAATTCTATCACAGGCAACGATGTAGTCACAGCATTAAATGAGCTGGGAGCATTCCATAAGATTTCTGCTTTATATTGGAAAGGGTTTGATAAAACTTTGATACCATCTTTCTCATTGTGGAAGTTTGATTTTAACATGTACATAGTTTAACATTTTCCACTTTTACTGCACGTCACTACTTTGAAATTAACAGTGTTATTTAAAACTTTCAATAATAATTGATTTCTGCATCATCTTATCGAACGACCATCTTCCCTCAACATTATGGTTTGAGTTTTTTCGTTCCAATAATAAACAAATGAAAAATATCAACGGGCGAAACAAAGAAAAACCAGTGCTTCGAGACTTCCGGAGTTGAATTCAGTATAATGTAATCCACCTCCAAGGCTAATAAACGTAGTATGGCCGATATGACGTATAAAACAATTGACTATAAATCAAACAGATTTTGTATAATAACGTCAACGTTAAAGACCGACAGTTACTCGCAATCACTATTACGTTTGCTGTAATTATGGTAAACTATTTTTAAAAC